AGCAGTTTGGTTCAGCAAAACAATCATTAAATACAGATTTTTTTTTTCTGGCAAGGAATGGAAGGGTTGTCTTGTCTTCTCACCCCTCCCCTCCCCCACTGCTCATGAAACCAGAAAGTGGCAATTAAAAATGTGTAAAGGTGCAGGTTTTTTGAGCTACAGTTTTGAATGTTTGAAGGATTTTAGATCTTGTAATACAATGCCCTCTGCTGGCATCAGCCTGAAAGTGCAGGATTGTACAGTAAGACGTCTGTTTGGCTTATATAATGGATTAAAAGTCACAGCCAGTAGATCCAAATCACATCTAAAAAACAGCAGTGGGACAATTAAAAGTAAAATCAAAACTCAATGCTAAATACCACCTGAGGTTTGGGGAAATGTTTTTAGCTCAGATGATAAAGCCTGCAGGAATGGAACTTCCAGAGTTACTGGCTCCTTAAGAGGGAGAATTATTTGAGGGAAACCAAAACCTGAATTTAGGACTAGGATTAACAAGCCTGGGTTTAGAACTAGGGATTCTAGAGAGCATTTAGTCCAGCCCCATGGTTCAGAGAAGCAAATTAGACTGGGCAAAGAAACAGAAAAGTTAAGTTCATACAATATCCTCAACTAGGATAAAATGAGAGAGTTGATAGGCTGTGGTTCCAAATGTGGAAAACCAGAACAGTTGTGTTTTGTAAATCATGCTGGTGCATAGTCACCAGAAACCGTGCAGCTAACTGGAGATTCCCAGCTCCACCCAATCCCCATATTGCTCCTATTTGGTTTATATATATATATCTGTACCATTTCTGTATCTGGCTATCTTGGCCCTTGGTGGATGTTCACCACCAGATGACCACAGGTAATCCTCAACTTACAGCAGTTTGTTTAGTGACGCCCATTCAAAGTTGCAATGGCACTGAAAAAAGTGACGTTTTCACATGACCGTAGTAGCATCCCCAGGGTCATGTGATCCAAGTTCAGATGTTTGGCAAGTGACTCATATTTATGACGGTTGCAGTGTCCCAGGGGGTCACATGATCGCCTTTTGCGACCTTCTGATAAGCAAAGTCAGTGGGGAATCCAGGTTCACTTAACTAATTTAACAACTACAGCGATTCACTTAACAACTTCAGCAAAAGAGGTCGTAAAATGGGGCAAACTTCACTTAACAAATGTTTCATTTAGCGATATAAATTTTGGGCTCAATCGTGGCCATACGTCGAGGACTACCTGTGTAAGTGACTCACCAGGGATTGCTTTGTTAAAGTTCTTTCTCCTGCTTTTGATACAGGAAGAGAAAGATTTTGCTCCCAGGAGAAAAGCATACAGCTCCTCTGAGCAACTGACATCAAGGAGGAGGCCAGAGGTCAAGGCGGAACTGGGCCGCCAATTTCCGAGCAGCAGGGCCGAGGAGCGGAGGCGGTGGTCCAGAGACCACTCAGAAGCCCACTGAACTGGCTGAGGGTAAGGCTAGGAATTGCATTCACCTTTTTGAACCTTTTTCTCTGCTTCAGTCTGTTTTTTTCGTTCGGGAGTTCTAGGCAGCCTAGATAGTGTTCCTTTCTTCCCTTTTTGCCACCGCAAACTTGCAGGTTGGCTTGGAAAGGAAGACTATCTCAAATCACGGGAAGTAGTAGCGCTGCTTTATAAATCCTTAGTAAGGCCACACCTGGAATACTGCATCCACTTTTGATCACCACCTTACAAAAAAGATGATGAGACTTTGGGGAAAAAATGCATGGAGCAACTAGGATAATTAAAGGCCTGGAGACAAAAACATATGAACAGTTGCAGAAACTGGGTATGGCTAGTCTGGAGAAAAGGACCAGGGATGACATGATAGCAGTATTCCAGTATTTGAGGGGCTGCTACAAAGAAGAACAGGGGGGTCAACTTGTTTTCCAAAACACCAGAAGGCAAGACATAGAAGCAATGGATGGAAACTAAGCAAGGAGAGAAACAACCTGGAACTAAGGAGAAACCTCCTGACAATGAGAACAATTAACCAGTGGAACAACCTGCCTCCAGAAGTTGTAGGTGCTTCATCACTGGAGGTTTTTAAGAAGAGACTGGACAGCCACCTGTCCGAAATGATATAGGGTCTCCTGCTTGAGCAAGGGGTCGACTAGAAGACCTCCAAGGTCCCTTCCAGCTCTATTCTGTTTGAAATTTGCTTCTCTTGTTAACTCTTAAAACTATTTGGAAATCTACAGAAGTCAGACCAAAACAAGGAGGTGTGCCAAGAGTGTAAAATGACATAAAAATAGAGAAATGTTGGCCTCATTTTGATTTCTTGCAGAATGCTGCTGGTGGTATCGCTCTCAGAGTGCAATGTCACCTCAGCTAGCCACTTAGTCAGTTATACTGATGGAGCTCAGTGCATACATAAACCATACGAAGTACACGGATTAAAATTTCTACATGTGGAAACTACTGCGAGGTTTTCATGCTGGGCCTTGCACAATTGTCCCTCAAGCATTTTTAATATATGGCTTTAAAAAAATATTTCAGAACTTCATATGTTGCATTTGAACTGGCCTGTAAACAGAACGAAGATTGTTTTGTGTGGAAGACGGTCACTTCATGGCCTCCTGAAGTTCTTGAATAGATTCTCCTCAGAATGTAGGTTTGAGGTCTTTCCCAATATGACTGAAGTATGGTATCCAAGGCAGCAAACATAACTAATACTCCTCCTCCTTTTTATTTTCCCCACAAAAACAACCCTGTGAGGTGGGTTGGACTGAGAAAGAATGACAGGCCAAAGTCACCCAGCTGGCTTTCATGCCTAAGGTGGGACTAGAATTCACAGTCTCCTAGTTATTGGCCCAAAGGCACCCAACTGGCTTTCGTGACTAGAACTCACAGACTCCTGGTTTCTAGGCCAGCATCTTAACCATTACATCGAACTAGCTCTCAAACTGACATTTGATGTTGTCCTTTCTTTCCCTCTCTGTATCCCCAGCATATTTCCTGTTGCAGTTTGCATGACCTCCAGACCTGGAACTCCCATCTTTCTGCTGCTGCTGCCGCTGCCAGTCCACCATGGGGAGACTGATACAGTGCCTGACCTTTACCCCCTTTCAGTGCTCAAGGACTCTCCTTCTCCCCTCTCCAAAACCCAGATGGACTTTTCTTTTAATGGTGGCTTTGCGTTCTCCTTCTCCTCCATGAAGGAGGATGGGGAGACTTTGCTCAGGGGAATCCCACTCTGGAACTTTACCGAGCACGAATCAATGGAGACCCTCAGCTTGCAACTCCTTGGAAACCTCCAAGAACTTTGGATTCTCGACTTGGGTGTTCGTTGACTCCACTCCAGGAGAAGCTTTTGGTTTGGTTTGACTTGAAAGTCCCATGGAGAACCACTTTGGACTCGTCTCTGCGTGGTCCTCAGCTTTGGAGAGCCACTTACCTGACCCCTCTTGGCCATAACTCTTGAAGAATGGCCTAGCAGGGTTCATGGGCCACTGCTTCACAGTAGCAGCCTCTCTTCTTCCTCCTCCTTGCCCGCACTGTAACAGTTTGGCCGCTCAAACCGATGTTTGACTGAGCCATCCAGAGAAGCAATAAATTGAGATGCATCTCCTCCAGCATCTCCTGCTCCACTGGCAGGGACTGGAGCAGCAAAGGTTGGTGGGTTCTCTTTGGCCTCAAAAAAACCGGTCTCTGCTCCCTTTCTTGTTGGCATAGCACACTCCTTGCAAAACCAGCCAGACTTGGGGTATACAACCACAAATCTCATCGGCAAGCCTTCCACTCTGCTCCCAATCAACTTGCAGCCCGATCCAAAGGGTCAGCCCGTCCCGGGACCCGGCTTGCTCGATGAGGCTGTTCTGACGTCACTTGAACTAAAGCCCTAGAAGACTCAAGTGTGGCCGGCAGTTGGAGGCGTCTGATTTGTCCAGTTCCTCAGCGCATCCTTGGGGGGAGGGGGGACACATTCCTTTATTTCTGCTACCTCACCACTTGCTTGGACAGGAGGACCAGCGTATGATCTTCCAGAGACCCAGTGGCTGCCCCCTTCCACCTCTGAAACAGCAAATTGAATTTTGTTCACACAATCATCCCAGCCCCTCCCCCCAAAGGTCTGTTTTCCATCGTACTCTATGCGCTTTGTTCGGATGCTGCTGTATTGTAAGTCTTCTTACCCGCCTCTGCCCGTTTTGCCAAGGTGCGACTCGAGAACTGATCAGAATTAGCTGCTTTTCCCCTTTTAAACGAATCTCTCTCGTGCACATGTACATGCCGAGTGCTAAAATGATGAGGACCAGTCCAGAGGTTTTCTAGGGCATGTGACCTGTGAGTCATTCAACTCACAAATAACACCCCCTCCAACCTCCAGCTATTTGAGAAGAGATGTGCACGGGTTCCAAGAGTTAATTAAAAATGCAATTATTATTATGGCAGCCAGTCCAGGAGGATCAGATGGCAGTAATGGGTTGAGGGAGGAGAATCAGCCAGTGGGTTGCTGAGTTCAAAGCTTCTGTGTTGTCTGGGTAGCTGGGAGCAAACGGAAAGTTTTGAGGTGTGAGAATCTGTGGGTAACATGTTTCTCCTTTTCCTGTGAGTGTTGTCCTGCAAGTTGCTTCACCCACACACCGGGAAGTAAACGTGGAGTTGATGTTCTTGCCATTCAAAACCAGGTTCTATTCAAACTTGGTCATTTTCTCTTCCCTCCCTCCCCCCCCCAGAATAGCCTTATATTCCCTTGCTTCTGGTGTCATTCTGCTTCAGAAGCATAGTAGTCACCTTTTGGGGGGAGAGGGGAGGACTGTATCAGCACCACCCTCCGTTGTCGCCTCCTCACCATCAACCACCACCTCAACTGTCAATCATTACCTATTGTCACCACCCACCATCAATCTCTTCCTCCAAAAGCATTTGATGGCTGTCTGATGGTGTTAGGCCTCAGAGTGTAGTATTGTGCGCTTCAAAAAGATTTGCCTCACTCTGAGCCGGTGCTTCCCAAATGGGAAGACATTACCCAAAACTGAGCAAAATTGTGTTTTGTTTCTTTGAGCAACAGCACATGACTCCTTTACCAATCAGGATAGGGACATTTCAGTTGACTTAAAGATTGCCACGTGCGCTAAAATATCTCCCAAAGCTTTCCTATTAAGATGGTTGAGGAAATTGCAATTGGTAATTTGTTGAAATGACATAAAGATCATTGGGTTATAAATGTTTGTTTAATACCGGTAGTCCTCGAGTTACGATCATTCATTCTGTGACAGTTTGAAGTTACAGTGGTGCTGGAGGAAGGGAGTTACAACAGGTCCTCAAAGTTTGATGAGGCTTTTTGATAAGCAGTTTTGGGTAATGAAGGAAAATGTTTGGAAGCCCTGCTCTAAGGGTCTGTGAGCTTGGCACTTTAAGACTTGTGGACTTCAGCTCCCAGAATTCCTTAGCCAGCATGGCTAGTTGGGGAATTCTGGGTGTTGAAGTCCATGAGTCTTAAAATGGCCACGTTTGGAGAGCCCTGCTCTAAGCCATCCTCACCTTATTCAACCATATAGAAGGGGAAATCCCATTGGAATATCTTTGCTCAAGAGAAAAGAACCCACATCCCCCATTCATCTCTTTCCCGCAAAGATGAGTGCCTGTGTTCACACAATAGGCTAAACCAAGAAGCACCGTTAACAAGTGCATGTGTTCCATGCCATCTTACTCCCACTGAATATGAGTTTAATGGAAAGTTTAGACTTAATGTGGCAGCCATGCCTGGAGTTGTCAGCATGTTAAACTTACAGAAACAGGAGACTATAGCCAGAGTATGCTGCATGTACAAAGGTCTGCTTTATGTCAAACAAGGATTTGAATAACACAATCAGACTTTATTTAAAAACTCATGCGCGACCAGAATGGGGGCCAGGTGGGGACACATGTCATGGGAACACAACCAGTGTTGTCATTCCTTCATTGCTGTTGAAAAACCAGCCGTTTTGGTACCTTTTGAGGATTTCAACATGAATTCAGTTCTGGAACCACAAAGGGTATTTATTTCTTTACCTTGTAATATTTTGAATCTAAACTAATGCTCCCATTTGCATGCCAAGTTCTCTTTAGCACAACAGGAATAAAAGGAGATGGAAGGGTTGTTTTTTGTTTTAAAAAGCCTGGGAAGCCTAAGGCAGGCTAAAAAATGTTAGTGGGCTTCTATCTGCTAGTGCTTCAGACACGAAGCTGAAACAACCCACTGTTGGTTTGGCTTATGAAAGGGTATCAAAGCTGGTTCTTGTCTCATAGCAGAATAAAGGGAAAATTGGGGATGTAGTCAAGAGACTGAATGCCTTACTTCCAAAACTACATTTCTGCACATTGTATTTGCATAACCAGGGTTAGTTCAGTGGGCCAAGGCTCAGCCTTTGATGGAATAGTACCAAATGATGGTGACCAAGTTTTGCACCTCTTTTTAAGATCTAAGCCTTTATTTCATGCTCCAGCAATTTCTGGATAGGTTGTTGCAACGTAACACTATTTTTATTCTCCAATTTTTGGCAAGTCTTCCAGCTTGTGGGGGTGGAGGGATGGGGAATGAAGAAAACCTTAACTGATTTGTGTCCATTGATGGGTGCCAAGTTTACATGAAAGTCTTATTTGCTCTATGTCAGTGGTGGCGAACCTATGGCACGGGTGCCAGAGGCGGCACTCAGAGCCCTCTCTGTGGGCACGCGTGCCGTTGCCCCAGTCCTAGGCCTTCAGCTGGGTTTTATAAAACTTTTTCGCTTTAGGCCTCTGCCGCCGTGTGCAAAAAAAAAAAGAAGGTTCAACCAGTCAATTTCAACTTCTCGTGGGGAAAAAAAGATCTTGCAAAGTTGGAATTGATTGAACTTTTTAGTCCCACCCAGTCTGCCGTTACCACCGCAGCCACGCCCACCCAATGGGCCATGCCCACCCAATGGGCCACGCCCACCCAATGGGTCACACCCACCCGGCACCCGACGATGCATAAGTGGGCTTTGGGTTGCAGTTTGGGCACTCGGTCTCTAAAAAGTTTGCCATCACTGCTCTATGTGGTAACCAACCTGTAGTAGCCATTTTAATGAGTGTGCTTTGTGTGCCTGATCTAGTAATAAGATGAGGCTTGTGGATTAATCCCCCCCAAAGGATGCTTTTTTAAAATAGCGCCCCCCCCTCAAAAAGAAGCCATTCCACCATGAATTAAAGAAAGCACTTTAGCATATGAAACATGATATAAACAGTTCCATTCTTCTTGATCTCAGGCGACTTGAAAATTAAACCTGCAATGTTTCTGCTGCTATTTGAGCCATTCCTTCAATTGGGTCAGAGATACTGCAATGTCGGGGGAAGGGGGCAATTGCAGCATCTAACCCTAATTCTAAGGACTCTGGTTCCTACAGGGTGTTTAAATTCCTTCCTAAAGCATATTCCTTTTAGCAATGAAATTCCAGGTGTTAACGTTCCTCAATCAGCTAACATTATGGCAGGGATCTTCAAACTTGGCCCTTTTATGACTTGTGGACTTCAACTCCCAGAATTCCTCAGCCAGACTTCAATTCTGGGAGTTGAAGTCCACAAGTCATAAAAGGGCCAAGTTTGAAGACCCCTGCATTATGGGCTAAAATGTGGTCGTTTTCATTTGTGCCTCGTCGTCAACTGCAGCCTTACTAGATACTTAACCAAGACACTTATGCAAAGCTGAGCACCATTTAGTGGCATGCTAAGCTTGATTAGTCTTAAACTTGGTGGTTGTTTGTTGGGCTTAGGGTGTGGACTGATCCAAGTCCCTTTGGGTAGTTCAGGGATTTTCAATTTTTTTTTAGTGCTTTCCTAAAACAATAAATGCATTTTTTGTGAGACCCTCTCCCAATAATGGATTTAATGAGGGTAGAGTTCAACAAGAAATAAATGTTCCATTTACTTCGAATCATGGTTAGCCTGCATATCAGAGGCAGTCATAAAATTTGCAGCAAACAGACAAAGGGAAGAGCAAAGGCCAGAATAAATTTTAAATCTGCCTACCTGTGCTAGACGGATGGTTACAAAGATTATAACCCTCTTCTAAAAAGATCCTTTCCTTACTGGGCTGGCCTTTAATCCAAGGCCGTTTGAAACCCTTGGATTAAATTATGGTTCAGTGCATTGTCCAAACGCAGAAAGTAGCTTAATTCAGGAACCAGGTCCAACGTGTTGATGTCAGTTTACATGCAAACACAGCCCCTGAAAATATTAATTTTCAGTCTTTAACTCAACAAGGCAGGGACAATCTCTTTTTTTACCTCCAAGATTACTTCAGTTGTAGCTTTCACTTGTGAAAAACAAGCTGTCTTCCAAGTAACCTGTCCAAGCCCAAATATAAGTGGTCCATATACCCTAGTAGAGGCCTTTTCATTTCTTTATTCCTTCCAGAAGTTTAATTATGCTAGCTCTAAAAGGTTGCCAACATGCTATCACAGCTCTGGCTCAGCTGATAGGATCAGCTTTGTTTCTCCACTACCACAGTCTTTATTTTGGGGGTGTGGGGGGGTGATCGGTTTCTGTTTCTTAGGCCTTAGAACAGGGGTGTCCAACCTTGGCCACTTTTAAGACTTGCGGACTTCATCTCCCAGAATTCCCCAGCCAGCTACGCATCGCTGACTGGGGAATTCTGGGAGTTAAGGTCCCTAGGTCTTAAAAGTGGTCAAGGTTGGGCACCGCCTGCCTTAGAATATACTTGAACAGCTGGGAAGAAGAGATCTTTCTGAGAACGGTTTGGGACATAAATCTGTCCTCGTTTGAGCAAAGTTTTCTTCTGCTCTATGAATTTACAAAATCCACTGAATTAATAGCTACCATATCCATTCTTATTAGGGATTGGGTGGGGGCAGAAATAAGATTCTGCAGAAGAAATGTATTTTCCTTAATTAAATAGTAAGACCGTGTCTTCACTGTTACATATCAGGGAGTCTATTTCCCATTCTCAGTTTTGTAATTCCACATCAGTAATCTTATATTAAACTAGATGTAGAGCAATAAATAATCCTTATTGCCAGAGAGGGGAAGGAGTGTTATTCAGTGAATGGCTCCATAAAATCAGGATTATAAACCCTACAGCAAGGCTAACCCCGAGTGCAATAAGAGCTGATTGTATTTGTGAACATAAGTGAGGATTTCAGGACATGAAGATTGGCTCAGCTTGCACACTTTTAATGAAAAACAACTGTAAAGTGTATTTGTAAATATTTGCCAGTGTTTGGGGTGAATTAATTAATTTGTGTTTTAAACTGTAAGATGTATAACTACCGTAGGGAATCCCCCAGGGACTTTCTGATGCTGAAAAATTGTATGATTTTTAAGAAACAAAAAAAAAAAACAATCCAGTGTTGTAATTGTATTTGATGCACGTGAATTTTCTTCATTTCTTTCTTTAACTCAAGAAACTTAAACCATGCAGCTTCTCCCGCCAGGGGATCAGGAGACTTGCGCTTCTTAACAAGCACATGGCCTGTCCTTGCTCCTTTCCTATCACTGCTGAAGCAACATTGCAGCTCTGATCGAGAGCCAGGTATCTTGTTGACCAAATTAGAGTTTTGTACGCATGAAGTCCCAACTTCATGAGACCGAGATGCAAGCTGCTGCCAGCCAGAGTAGACAGTGCTCGGCGTACTTAGCTTCATACTTTAGTATGCCATTAAGAGGCAAGACTGATTTAGTGATAAAACGCTGACATCCGAGTGCCAAGAACTTAGGGTTTTAGCCACAGGGTCGGTCAGAGAGGCCCTGCATGTATGCAGCAGAAGGGCGGTGCCCCTGAAGCACTGAAACGATGCCCCTTCCCTGCCCACTCAATTTACGTAACGAGAAGGCTGTTTTGCTGCTTTAGTTAAAAGCCCAACGTGATCGCCAAAGAAGGAAAAGAGCAGGGAGAGACTGCTGTGCAGAAGTTCTCCCTTTCTTTTTCCTTCTTGGTTAGAGACCAAAGGAATTACTTTCTCTTTTTTTTGTAGCTGTTGGAAGCCCAAATTCGCCTTCCATACCTGCACAAAAAGGAGAGGCATGTTGGTCTTCCTGCCGTATGAAACACTTGAGAATCCTTCAACTTCTGTGGAATGTATTTTTAAGAGATGAAAATATATTTTTTCTATTTGCTAATGTCCAGACCAGGTGGAAAAGGGACTGCAGAAGTCAGACAATGTTGTGTTCTAAGGCAGATGGAGCATCATCTGCCTTCTATTTCTTTTCAGGTGAAGAAAAAATAAAGCAAGTGCAATTTAAGCCCACGTTATCCTGAGCGCCTCAGCTCCCAGCCCGCCACATGCTCAGCCAATGACCAGCACTATCCAGGTCACGCTCCCCCTGACTCGCAAGGAAGCAACAGAATACTAGCATGCTGGCTGGGGAAAGGCCTCCCATTCGTTCACCTCTCAAACTCGCCTATGCACTGGACAGCAGGCAGTGTGAACCTGCCAGTTACACAGAGCAACGAGTCTGCATGTTACGTTGAAACACATTTTTTTTGTCCGCATGTTATCTTCTGACTAATGCTATCTGTTCTGCAGTACATAATCAATAAAATTATTTGTATGTTAATGCAACTTGTGAGGCAGAAAAGTCCTTTTGCTTCTTCCATGGGAAAGACAATTCCAGCCACTTCTACACAACATATTTATGATGCGTTGACAATGTACACAAAATGTACCACTCTGATGGTTAAGCCTGAATCTCCTCACCCTTCTGATGGGGTCCATAGTTGGAGTTTTTTAACTTTTAAAACCCACAAAGGAGACCCAACAGAAGAGCATATTTGTAGCTCAAAGTTGAACTGTGGGACCCTTGGTGCTCTCTGTACTTGGTGGTTTTTCTTGCCGGTGTTTCATTACCCAACCAGGTAATATTATCAGTGCTGATTGGATAATGAAATGTTTGCAAGAAAACAACCAAACTCAGAGCACCAAGGACCCTGCAACACAATAGCATGCTGTACTTAAAACAAAAAAAGAACACATTGGAAGTTTTTTTAAAAAATTATAAAGATTTATTATTTTTTTTTGCTTTCTAAGCCAAATCCATGTAAAACGAACTTACCTTAATTACTAACAGCTATCTTACAAGAACTCTAAACCATAGGAAGAAAGTTAACCAAAACCACATATGTACCTAAAATGTTCCAACTTGAGAGACTCAGTTTATTTTCGGAGTAGTATGAATGCTACTCTGGTGGAAAGCATTTTCAAGTGATGGATACCTTTGAAGGGCTTCTCTGTTCTCCGCTTCCAACTTCTGGATTAAGCCCTCCAACCGGTAGTGCTACAGAACACAATTCCACTTGCTTCTAACAGAGTCCACGCCAAGAATTCTGAGCCCACTGCACCGTCTCTCGCACTGGCATCTTCACATAGGAGGCGTCTGTTGTGCTGTTGCCACAGGGGTCGCTTGGCGAGGGAGAGTGTACATCGCACCGAGAAACTGGTCTGCAATACGTCCAGCTTCTCTCAGGCCACTTAGCAGTGCTCCATGAACTGTCGCTGGGTAGTTACGAATTGTATGTTCTCCAGCAAAGAAGAGGCGAGGAATGGGCTGGAAAAGAAAGAGCAGGTGGGCAATGGCTTGAGACCCTCTGGGGAGGGTAATTGGGGCTTTGGTAAAATAAGGACAGTCAGAGTCAGCTTTGTTTTTAGTGATGCCCCTGGGAAATGGAGACTGGATGGGAGAATAATTTGTAAATTTTGCAGAAGCAGCAATAAGAATTGCAAAAATGTGTCAAGCACTCAGACGAAGAGGACAAAGGAAAATAGCATAATATTCCTCTGATACAAAAACAAGAATTTAAATTTAGCAAATGATAATGGTGAGCCTCAAAACATGTTCAGATCAGAAACTTTTTAAAACATGGATGGAAGGACTTGCTCAACCTGGTGTGGGGACTCAACTGGCTTCTGAACCAAGTAATAAGACATCCTTTCTTAAGCATCAACCTCCATAGTATGACATACCTTCAGCCTGCCCTCTATCTCCCTTCTTGAATTTACCCAGAGCCCTACACCAAAGACTTAAATTCTACATCAGTCTAGCCCAGTGTTTCTCAACTTAGGCAGCTTGAAGAAGCTTGGATTTTAATTCCCAGAATTCCCCAGCCAGCATGCTGCCTGGAAAATTCTGGAAGCTTCAGTATCTTAAAGTCACCAAGGCTGAAAAAAACTGGTCTAGCCGCTCTATGTATTTGACCGTTACAATTCATGAAAGCTGATGCCAGTTAATAAAATTTTGTTAGTTGGAAAAGATGCCACCAAATACCTGATTTTTCTGCCATCATAGACTAATGCAGCACTTCTACAGAGCCCCATGTGAGTACGATCGGTTTCTTTGTTCCCGTATGGCATAACTCCTTGACCTCTTAGCGCCTGAATGCATTTAACCCCCCTTACTTAAAATGGGTTATCAAAATGCAGTTGCAATACATATATAAAATAACACAGCAGTTTAGCATGATGGCCTGATCCACACAGTATAAGGCAGGGGTCTTCAAACTTGGCCCTTTTATGACTTGTGGACTTCAACTCCTATGCCTGGCTGAGGAATTCTGGGAGTTGAAGTCCACAAGTCATAAAAGCGCCAAGGTTTGGGTTTTCCCCAGCACACAAATTACCCAATTTACTTTCTTCTAATTGAGTGTGTTGTGAGAATCAGGTTGATATGGTTGTAGAGCAGGGTCCAGGTGACTCCTATGGACAACAGGATCCTATGTTTGGCTGCATGTAATTAATACGAACTCAAGAGAGGGAAGCTGATTCAAGGAATCAAGTAGAAAACAGTATAGGTAGTCCTTGACTTAACAACCGTTTGTTTAGTGACCATTCAAAGTTACAACAGCACTCAAAACAGTGACTTTAAAGCCGTTTTTCACATGATCACTGCATCACTCTCACGGACCTGCGATCATATTTTGGCACTTGGCAACTGGCATATATTTATGACAGTTACACTCTCCTGGGGTCATGTGATCACCCTTTGTGACCTTACCAGTGGGTTTCCGACATGCAAAGTCAATGGAGGAAACCAGATTTGCTTAATGACCACTAACAACCGCAGTGATTCACTTAACAACTATGGCAAAGAAGGTGATAAAATGGGGAAAACTCAATTAAGTGGCCAATAAATTTGATAAATAAAATGAACAACTGCCATGCTTAGCCATGGAAATTTTGGGCTCAATTGTGGTCATAAGTCGAGGACTATGTGTATTCTCTTGAAGACAAACTGAGGTAAAAGCATAAAGGCAACTTCACCCCCACTAAAGGCAACTATTAGTTACATAAAGAAGCAAACCTGCATCAGATAAATAAAACACACCATTGGAAGTGCCAGAATTAAGCCCAGGTTGCTGGCTTCCTTATGCTAGCACAGGGGTAGGCAACCTTGGCTCTTTTATGACTCGTGGACTTCAACTCCCAGAATTCCTGAGCCAGCATGGCTCAGCATGGAAACGTCTCCCTTTCCCCTCAGCATGGCTGGCTCAGGAATTCTGGGAGTTGAAGTCCACGAGTCATAAAAGAGCCAAGGTTGCTCTTTTGTTGCTAGGATGTGTGGTCACATCCTAGCAACATAAGGTTAAAGTCGGCTGTTCTCAACTTACCTGAGGAGCTCCTGGAATGGCTGGTCCAGGAGTAATTGGCTGAGCCATCAAGTCATAGTCGTTTCCTGACGAACCAGCTGCTACATAGGAATAAGAGCCTCGGGCCCACGGATCAGCCCGCCATCGAGATACCACCGTCTCTTTGGGCTGAGAGAGAAGCAGAAGAGGCATGGGAAGAGAGACTCAATGGGAACACTGCTGAAGTGAGGTTTTTATGAAGTCCTTGGGATAAGGGTAGGGCGAGAATGTATTAATAGGCAAATCAAGCTTACAACAAAATGTAAAAGTCTTGCAAGCAGCAAAAATCTGAAAAGTTCTGGGGCACCTACACAAAAGGTTTTACGATTCCTTAACATCCAAGAGAGGACAAGCAACAGGTAGATTTCTGTCAACTCACCTCCTTCACAAAGAATGCAAAATGGAGAGAGACATTTGCCAAGCCATAATCGTGGGATGTTAGGATTTTTCGCTTTCCTCTTGCACTGAGACCTCAAAGCTGATCAGATTAACACCACCACACAGCAATGAGGCTGGCATGAAGCTATTTAACTAGCATGGAGAATTCCACAACCGTAACTTTTCTTTACATAGATAAAAGATGAAGCAGGGAAGGGAATTCCCAGCCCGGAAGAACTCTGCCCTTGATAGCAGATGATGGTGAAATCAAAAGAACTTTTTCGAAGCAGTCCCCGCCTGCCTTAAATTATGCGTCACAGACGATTAAGGCTAGGCAAAGTTGGCTGTGTTATGAAAAGAGCCCCTTTTCTAAATACACTAGCTTTAGTAACAGCCCCTTTCTACTTTGCTAGATTTGCTTCCCTTGAAGGAAGTTGGAGGGCATTAGTAGGATAGACAGACAGGAGGCCACGTAGGCAAAAGGGCTTCTAGAATAGTCCAGCTTTTAGGCTGCTACATATCACGCAAAACTTCCTGCATTACAAAGGACACAAAACAATACCTGAGGGACAGCACTGCTGCCAAAAATACCCTTGAGGATAGCAAGGCAGCGTCCAACAATGACATCATCGCTAATGTTCTCCATGATTCCTGCTGCTTCACCTGCCACCAAGGCCAGAAGGATCGGGGCTGTTTAGGGAAACGAGTTTATGGGGCGTTAACAGAGAGCAAGTCCGAGAGATATTAACGCCACCCACCTCGTGAACGTCTGCAATCTAGAACAGGGGTACCCAACCCCTGGTCCGCGGCATGCCAGAAACCGGTCCGCGCAAACAAGCAAAGCCCCATCCATGGGATGCAGGCAGAACACAAAACCACACCCCCTCCGGTCCGTGGAAAAACCTCTCTCTACAGAACTGGTCCCTGGTGCCCAAAAGGTTGGGGACCTCTGGCCTAGAAAGGAAACAGATTTCTCAGCCATGTAAATGGTTTGAAGTTAAGGTGGTCTTATGATGCTGCTGAATTGTACTGCTTGGTATTATAAACTGCCTTGGGTAGGCCAATGACAGCAGCTAAACTTAAGATTTATTTTGTTCAGTCAGGTCTGTCCAAAAAAAGAAGAGGTTTAAGAAAAGCTCTCATACTATGCTGAAAGCGCATGCTGGAACATTGGCTGGCATTGGCGTCCCCAGTTATAGAAAGATAGGGAGCCAACGAGAGCTATACAGGGGTCAAGGACCTACTTTTCACTTAATATAGTTCTGATTCTTCCCTTTGAGGCCCATGCAACCTGAAGAACTCTACTGCATTTCCTACATTGTTGTTTACTGCCACATCAAACTTTTCCAGGTTTGCAAGCTCCCATGTTCTTAAAAGGAAGCACAACTTTGTACTCAATCTTTAAACAGATATCAGTGTTTAATATTTCATGCGCTTTGAACCCTTAGTTTACATTCCCAGTACAGGACTTTCTGTATTCAGCGATTCCAGTTTGTTCCTTAAAAAGTGAGAGTGTTACATGCCTTCACACAACTACCTTTGTAAAGATTCCAAAACAGGAAAAGCTCTCCTCTGCTTGCTGTTGTGCTGCCCACATGGCCGAACAAATTAACACTCGGATCCCAAAACACGCGGTCAAAACATAGAACAACCTATCAAGCAAAGGAGGAAAATAATGCCAATTAAAGAAGTCCTTGTGTGGTTTAATAGCAGATGAAAGAACTTCAAAATGCCAATTCATGCAGACAGTCCACTAGCAGACCAATTCTGCTAAATACCTCTTCGTGCTTTTCATGTTACCTTATTAAGGTTTCCAAATCCCATTCTCTGTACAGCTGATGTCTTCCACTCGGGAAGAGGAGGGACAAACTGGACTGCTGGAGGCTGCTGCTTCAGTACTCCCAAGGGGAGGGTACACAAGACAGCGTCACACTTGTAAATAAAAGTCTGACTAGTAGAACGGGTATTGACAGCTATCACTTCACATCCTAGTGAAAGAATGGAGAAAAAGAGACCGTCCTGTGAGGAAGGAGGATGAATGGATGAATTAAGGGCCTATGTGACTGTTTTCAGTTCATTGCTTCAGAAAATTAAACGGATTCAAATTCTACCAGTTCTCAATGCCATAATCTCCATCTTTTAGTTGACAATTTTTCCATGTTACTTGGCCAATACAACATGATGGCACTGAAGAGATTTAATCCAGATTTGCCTTTGTTTGAGCCAAAAAATGCCTGTGCTACTGGAACCAGATTATCCTCGTCTGAAACCATTTCGGAAGTTTTATTATTTTCTACCAATTCTATTTCTCTTACTTCCTACTAAGCTTTCTGTAATTCCAAGCAAGTGCACCGTATTTTAGCTGCACTTCTGAACTTCCTGTGGAAATGGGTTTGCCCATTTCAAACGTCTTACATTTGCTTATACTCCCGCATAAAATATCATTGATGCACCATAAATAAGACTACTAAATATTAATTTTGCATTCGTATTTGCATCCATTATCTGACTTTATTGCATTTATTTATTTTGGGAGACCCATGGGAAAACAGGTTATCAGTTTTGCACCCACAGATAATATGACCTCCAAGCACTGACAAATTGTGCGTGAACGCGTGCTCAAATCCATCCAGGGCTCTTGCTGGAAGACTATTCCAAAAGAAGCACTTGAGCCAACAGGATAATCAGAGAGAATTCTTAAATTTTGCTTACCAGAAGCGGTATAGCGAACCTGACGAACGGCTGTATTTAGTTTGATATCTAATCCTTCTGCTAGAGCCACAGGCACACAAGAATAGCCATTCCTCACAGTCAGATGACTGCCTGTGAATTCAAAATCATCATCCTGAAATGGGGGGAGAGGGGAGGAGATTTAAAAAAACTCCTCAGCACAAAGCATTTGTAACAAGTCAGTAATTTCTCCCTCATATTGTTCTAATGTTCCATACTCTAGAGTGACTAATTGCCACGGGTGACAGGCCAAGAGGATACTACTTGAATATAGGCAACCAATAGGAAAAGAAGTCCATCTATCTGTTGTTACACAAAGTCCAGATCAAACTTTCTCCAACCTTAATCAATATTCAGGAATTGTGGGGACTGCCCAATTAAATCCCTCCCCCCCCTAGCTTTTCATCATTAAGAACATGGTTGTTCCTGTCTTGACAAATAAAAGCATGAGTCTAGTTATCTTCTCTTCCCCTCCATGTCTTTTTTAAGTTTTGTATTCCCCTGTAAAAATTCAGAAGTATTTATCAAGTAAATTATAATATTTGTCACTTTATGTTTTTCTGAATAATCCTGGTGCCTCTAATTTGAATTTGCTGGTGAAGAATAGCTCTGTTGGGCTAGGGACAATGGCTCTTCAGGCCAGTTACATCTAATGTTTAGAAGTCACCATAGTATTTCTTTTTCCACTTTTCCTTTTGGATTGCTTATGCAAGATCAGTTCAATTTAGAGCAGTGCATGCAGACTTGTGGCTGAGTTTTCTGAATTTTAGCTTTAGCCTTATTACTTGCAGTATCACTTGTATACCTCAATGGAGAAGAATGCTTGGATTCCCCTGCCGTTTGTGTTTATTCATTCAGCCCCACTGAAATTTTAGTATGGGGGAAAAAAAGAATAATTACCTGGTCCCAATGCTTCAGTGACAAAGTAGAAAGTGGTGTGGCATTTGCAAACTCAAGATTTGCAAAATGCCAATCAAGAATCTGCCTGTCCCTTGATGATAAATACACATCACTGCACATTTTTGAGAGGGGAAAAAAATACAATACTGAGTATATGCTCTCACCATTTTTCCTCCATAAACATTTAGCAGTGTTATGCTTAGGTTTCCTGCACCCGAGCTGGTCTAAAAAAAGTTCTTTGCTATTCTAGAAGACAATAGAGTTTAACGGGGTAGGGCATAAATGAGAGGATAGGCCATAAAACGGTGATGAAAAAGTAACTTTAGCTGTGAATGATCACTAAATGAGACGGTTGCTAAATGAAGGATACCTGGATTAAAAACATATCTTGTCCTTTATGGTTTAGTATGAATAATACTGGCAAGAAATCTGAATGCTGGATTAGTTCTTTACTGCTACTCCCTAGCAAACTGATCATGTAGGAGAGAATTTTACAGAACAAAGGAGTTCTCACATGTTTCTACAGCATGAGATAAAAACAGTTTTTAAAATCTAATTCATTGCATTTCAGTTGAGGTGCAAATTTCCTCTTCAAAGGAATCTGCAACTCTTCTGATTATGTTTATCTGCATAACTATAGGACAACTTATGAATGTACTTGCATATTATAAATTAAACAACAAAGTATTCTTCCTTCACAATTGAGCTATTTGACCAGGGCAGTCATCAGCATAAAAAATCCAGTCTCTTTCCTACAATTTTACCTTGGAGGATTTGCTTCTAGTTCCTGGAGCTTCTCTTCCAGTTTTACTTGTGTTTCGGCTAACTCATCATACTCCTAATCACAAAATAAGATACGGACACAAATATATAGATGATTACTAAAAGGCAATATTTGAAAAAAGTGCTTATTAAGTATACAGAATAGCTAATATTAAATTAGATATTTCAACAACAGCCAATGTTGAAAAAAGATATATATTCAGTAGACCCAGTAATTCATACCTTACAAAGGGCAGTAAGATCTCTATGTTTGCTCTTCACAAGAAATTCTGCAGTAATATCTCGAGGCGGTTTTACTTCCGAAGCTTCTTTGTATTGTTGGTGAAGTTCTTTTATTTTCTCTTTCAAGTTCACCATCTGTAACAGGGAGGAAAATCATTAGTCAACAGAGAGAAGCAAAGCACTTCCTGATCGCTGCAGAATTTTAAGGAAAGGAAATTTATCTTTTTTTAATGTGAAACTTGTGGTTTATTAACTGATCTTTTGTATTATCAAATACAAATAAAAACTGAACATGTAAAATCATTTGCTTACTGAAGCCCATTATTAATGCACTGGTTAATCTGCGTTCACAAATATTAGGACTGTGCATACTTTGAAGATGATTTAAAAGAAAGTACTTTGGATTTTGCACAAGTATAAGCACAACACATTCTGGCAATCTTTTAAAGAAGCCTAAGTTTTTTGGAGTTCCATGAAAAAAGCTGGGGCTGCTTTATAATTAAATTAAGTCAACTCCTTAAAAGCAAATCAGCTTTTTTCAAAGTCATGCATTAAAAACAATGCTAACCTTGTTAAGGAGATCTTTAAGCTCTTCCTGAGTTTTCACTATCTTCTTCCAATGTTCTATCTGTTCATCCTTGACATGCTTCTCCTGTAATCTATGGAAAGGAAACAAGTAGCCATAGAGTCAGCAACTACCACAAACCTTTAGCAAGGACGCCACTATACTTCAGTGAGGAAACTACACTGAAACGTCTTCCCATGCCAATCTTCTCCAGAGCGTGCAAGACATTTGGTGTTCAGTCTTCTCAAGGTAGAAAAGTGCAATAAAGTGAAACAGAAGAAGCTAATGAACCATGGAGGCATAAAAAGGAGGACTTTGAAGCTTTGGGCCATGTAAGGTGCCATGTGCAAGATTGTAACACACAATGCCACCACCCCAACATGGGTGCAAACTCTGAGACTTAATACTCGGCTTGTCTCTTGACGTGACCTTTAATTTTACTTACTGTATGACAACTTCCAGAGCCTGACCAAGAGAAACAGGCTTGTTGTTGAGGACATTGAAGTCCAGTTGATGACTGAGGTATGAGGTAGCTTCTAGCAAACGGTTGAACTCTTGTTCTACCATCTCATCTTTTTCCTTTGGAACCTGTGGGTTAGCAAGGGGAAGTAAACAGGTGCAGATAGTTCAAAATGGAGAGGTCAGAGCAAGCCCTTAACCTTAAAGTGCATTTTCCATATAATGTGCATTTCAAACCCTGCCAAGAAACTTATTCTGAGTACTCAGTCAGGAGAGAAGGAATGACTTGTAGAAGGTTCACTTCTGTTTTATGACTAAATAATCACTGAAGTTTAGGAAGTTACTATACCGATATTTCCAACATCAGACTTAATGTATCAGATCCGAAAATGCATATCATGTGAGAATAATATTTAATTAAATAATATTTAATTATTAGGGAAAACATTGACTCTTTGCGTGCAACATGGAAATTTAGGCAGGAGAGTTTAATGCTGAAAACCACCTTGGCAAAGACTCTTGCATTCTGTCAACAGATCACAGTATTTTCAACTAAACTATTTCCTCAAAACTGCTTTCCAAGAACGAGACTTACCGCTTGTCCATTGGCTTCATAAAGTGGACATTTTTGTTTTATTTTGGCCAGTTCCATGTTTACTTGCTTGCTTACCACAGCCATTGGATTTCCACCTGCAAAGATTTTATACAGAGAAAAAAACATAAATTTAACAAAACAAGGGCTCAAAATCTGGAAGTACCTAGAGTTATAATGATCAAAGCCAAGCATTTAATCAAACGTTAGATAATATGTATGTGGTGTACTGGGCACAAAGTGGCATACTCATCCTTAGGCTTTTTAATACATTTTTTTCCTGTAAGAGAATGGACTAATTTAATCTTTCCTAAACCAGCACATTCCAGGCATGCTAGGTTACAACTCTTGGCATCCCAGCCAGGATGGCCAATGGTAGCTGAACTCTGACAAATGTAAAGGCAGTGGGGATGTAGAAAACATATACTAAGCTGTAGTACATTCTGAGCTTTATTCAAATTATCTGGCCCAAAAGGAGAAGCTTTGCAACCAAGATGTTCATTTCTTATTGGGAAGCTCTACTACTATATAAAACAGATGTGAAAGCGACAAGAGATCTCAGTTAACATGACTGAGAAGAAAGAACAAGGAAAGAGGAAGTTGAAAGAATCAACTTCTAATTCTGTGTGGAAAAAAAGCAATTACCAAAACCACGTATCTAGAGATTGTATTCTGCGCAAGCACGTGGCCGTGGAAACTGAATTCAGGCACATTTTCAAGGTAAGACTCACCAAGTCCTGTTACTACCATGGCTCCTAGATCTGCAACGTAGTTTCCTTTGCGAAAAGTAGCAACCCTGCCACCTACACGATCCTTTTTTTAAAAAAACACACAATGTTGAAGACTGACAACCTCAGGGTGCTCACTATAAACATATTAGCGACCCCTCTGAAGTACCACAGCTTAGGCAAGGAGAAAACCTCATACAATATGTGCCATTTTAAGGAAGTCTATTCAGCCTTATTCTTACGCTTCTATAAAAGACAGGCTCTGCATAAATAAAGTGAACTGGAAATTACATATTCAGTTAGCATGCAAAGTGAAGATCTAAGAAGGGTAACAAAGAATCTTAGCCTCTCCTTTATGCATTGTGAGTCCTTCCAGCCAAGATTAATGGAGAAAATTGGCTTATAAGAGTGTACTTTTTATAAGATTGATACACTTTGACATTTGTCCACTCACCCGTGCTTCTAGGAGTGTGACATCCATTCCAAAGCTCTGGAGCTGCCGAGCTGCCGCCAACCCAGAAACTCCAGAACCAATTATGATGACCTTGCCAGTCTTCTTGGCTAGAAACATCAAGAAGTGCTGTGGCGTTAGGGAGCAGATGAACAGAGACTACAGGAGGTTCTGACTAAAGGAGCGAATATGAGCTAAACACATCATCCTTCCAAAGGGGCCAGAGGTTTCTGGAAATGCTGATCCTCTGAATGCAATAAAGCATAATAAAATATAAAATATACCTAAACAAGGGCTGAATTCTCCAGCCTGACTGGCACCCAGGCATTCTGCTGCTTCTCCAGCTCAGGGGCTGGATACAGGTAGTCCTTGACTTACAACCACAATTTCTGTTGTTAAGTGAGACATTTGTTAAGTGAGTTTTGCCCCGTTTTACCACCTTTCTTGCCATGGTTGTTAAATGAATCACTGCAGTTGATAAGTTAATAACACGGTTGTTAAGTGAATTCGGCTTTCCCATTGACTTTGCTTGTCAAAAGGTTACAAAAAGTGACCTCATGACCTTAGGACACAGGATAGGTCGTAAGTATGAACTAGTTGCCCAGCACCTGAATTTTGATCACCTGATCATGGAGATGCTACAAAGGTCGTAAGTGTGAAAAAGTCATAAGCTGCTTTTTTCAGCGCAGTTGTAACTTTGAACGGTCACTAAATGAACTGTTGTAAATCGAGGATTATCTGTATTTCTCTGCTCTCCCCTATTGCCATCTTCCTGATTTCAAACGTGAGCAGCCAGACCACTTCATCTATTGGGATAGTATATATTTTTTTTATTTTGAGGCGGGATATAACTATTGACTGACAAGCGAGCTACGTTCAGTGATTAGAATGATCAACTCACTAGCCGGTCTTTCTTTTAAACTTCAAACCTTCAGCTATCTACACTGCAATCAGCTATAATATGGTCTGTCTCATTCTGAGCTACTGATAGGCAAATTTATCTACAATGTTTTACAGGCAATGGTTTAGCATTTAACATAAACTGTATGTCAAACCATGTCAAAATAAGCACAGCTCAGAAGGATGTGTGAGCCTAACTACTTCCTTAAAAAAAAGGAAGTATCTAGAAAAAGTGTTCAGTTTTAGAGAGCAGTTTACATGTGGCACAAATCACTTAGCCTTAACTTAAAAGATGAAATGATGTATCTTGAAATAAAAAAAATAATTTAAGTTCTTACTTGGTAGGGGCTTCACTCTTTTGTAGATACCAAAATTGATTAAGCCATGCCGTTCTAGGTAGCTATGTACTCGATGGACAAGTACCGTATCACCTACAACAAAATATTTTTTAATGAGCACTGATTATGGCGAGGTGGGGATATTTCTATCGGTCTTGACAGTGTCACTCCAGTCTTCACTTCCAATTACACGTTTCCCAATACAAAGTCCAACAGAAAGGGTCAGATTAATGAAAAAAGTGTCATAGTAGAACAAACCCAACAAACCCTTTTCCTAAAAATCTCCATAAACAAATATTTCATAGCCCACCAGTGACTTTTACTTTTTAACACAGCCCTTTTCTCCAGTAACCATGTGTGAAAAGAACACAGGACCCAAAGCAAATAATCAAGGCTCACTGAAGTGGTTATTATATAAACAGTACATACTGAAGAAGACCCTACCAAAGTGAATCACTCCTGCAAATAAAGAAAAAAGATGCAGGCATAAATATTCATAAGTATTAGACGATGCAAGTATACATGTTCATAACAGATCTTGGGTTACTTCCTGCCTTTCTACTACCTAAATGTCAAACAAATAATTGTCTGACTGAGAAAAAACAGATGAAAAGGAAGGGGCTCATGGGTTGCCATGGGAATTTTCTGAAAAGTGTTAGAACAGAGAGCTATGATCCAGCTTCAAGGCCATGGCAATTTATGTTTCCATTTGGTTTAAATGGTCCCAATTCATCTGAAAACTTACTTTTCCCACACATGCTAGCACAGAGAGGCTAAGCAGCAAATGAACTGATAAGGCAGTGTAACCTCAAGAAATAGAGGAGCCCCAAAAGGACTGTGATTAGGGGATTTGTGGTATTTATTTGTTACACTTATTTGTCACCTATCTCGCCATGGGGCTATGCTAGATGGCTTACAACAATAAAAAGGAAGAAATGAAAAGAGTGTAAACAGAGCATAGGTGAAACAACAGAACAATAAACAATGAAAAAGAACACGAGAATACATCAGCATGAAAACAAAAACATGGATGGGTGGAGAGCAGAGAGCAAGGGGGGGGGGGAGTGGAGTCTGTCCCCAATCCAGCAGCCAGGGTATTAGCACCTCTTGCTGCTCTTTGAGCATTCCCATTACCAGGAGAAATGGCACAAGTTCCACAAATGTGAGAACCAGTCTGTGTAAGTTGCAGGCAGTATGAAAAATCTATTTTGCTCTGGCACAGAAGTGCTGTAAAACACGGATGAAATACGTACCACTCTGTATAGAACAGGGGTCTTCAAACTTGGCCCTTTTATGACTTGGGGACTTCAACTCCCAAAATTCCTCAGCCAGGCATGCGTGCCTGGCTAAGGAATTCTGGGAGTTGAAGTCCCCAAGTCATAAAAGGGCCAAGTTTGAAGACCCCTGGTATAGAAGGAAGAGAAAGGGCAGCATGTCACACAGCCCCAAGCACAAACACTAGTTGGTTAAAAGGTAAGAGGCAAAATGGCAGGAAAAGGGAAAAGAGGCTGGAATGGAGATATGACCATCTGAAGCACCTCTTCAGGTTCAGCGTTTCTGCTGTAATTATTTTGAGCTCTTCCCGATGCCTGTTACCACCAGTCAAAGAACCATCTATGACATGCTCAAATCCCCGCCCCCCCGTCAGCAACTTACTATTATAGGGTGCTTCTAACTGCTGTACCGTTGCCTCAAAGGTCAGCTGAATCTTTGGGTTATCCAACCAAAGCTGCAACTGTGTTTAATCACACACACAAAAAATGTTGTTGTCAATATCTAGGATGTCATCAATACAGGTAGTAACCATTTTAAAAGCAGAATTTGCATTGCAATTTTACATGCATTTAACATTAATTTAAGAAAAAAAAATTAAAGCATGAGGATCCATTTATACAAGTAGTCCTTGAGTTATGACCACAACTGAACCCAACATTTCTATTGCTAAGTGAGACATTTGCTAAGTGAGTTGTGCCCCATTTTACGACTTTTCTTGCCACAGTTAAGTGAATCACTGCAGTTGTTAAGTTAGTAACATGGCTGGTTAAGTGAATCTGGCTTCCCCATTGACTTGACTTGTCAGAAGGTTGCAAAAGGGGATCACATGACCCTGGGACACTGCAACCGTCATAAATGTGAGTCAGTTGCCAAGTGTCTGAGTTTTGATCATGTGACCATGAGGATACCGCAATGGGTGTAAGCGTGGAAAATGGTCATAAGTCACTTTTTAGCAAATAGTCACTAAATGAATTGTCATTAAGTTGAGGACTACCTGTATTCTTGTAGAATATTAAAAGTGAAAACAAATTTGTTTAAAAATAATCAAGGTTGCAAAAACATTTTTTAGATACAGGCTGCATGTAGCCCACACTGGCAGAAATTCACTTGGCTTTCAAAAACAGAGCAAACAAAATATTCATCGACCTGAACCCATAATTATGCCAGTGGAAGAGTTTGAATGGGCTGTGAGCAAGCTCACGTGAACCAGGCCTGCATGGTTTTATGATAAATTCTCCTCTTCTTTCTCTAAGTAACTGATCAGAAAAGCAGTGTATACATTATATAAGCTGCCACCCTAAACTGAAACTGGAAGAAAAACTAAGACCAAAAAAAAAGAAAGAAAGAAATGCAAACAAAGCATAAGTCCAAGTGGCTAAGAGGAAGTTGTGAGTATCAAAGAAGAGGAAGAAAACATTGGAAGGGATGGATTTATTTATTTGAACTATCATTAAACAACATTTTAAGTTTACTTGTACCCTTAAAGTCCACAGCACTGTGTCCCTATTGTGGAACCAATCATGAAACCACATCCTTAGCTGAATTTATGTATTGATTTATACCCCACCTTTATTGTTTTAATAAATAACTCGAGGCAGAAAACATACCTAATACTCCTTCCTATTTTTCCCACAACAAGAACCTTCTGAGATAAGTTGAGCTAAGAGAAAGTGACTGGCTTTCATGTCTTAAGGCAGGACTAGATCTCTCTGTCTCTCAGTTTCTAGCCTAGAGCCTTAACCACTAGACCAAACTGACTTCCTATTATTAAATAACAGAACTGCAGGTTTTTCATTTCAAAATGTTACCAAAACCAACCAAAAAGTGCCAGCAGAAAATAATTTCAGCTCTGTGGAAAGAGAAAGAGCACAGAAAATGACTAAGGGAAGGGGAGTTTTAATGTGTGTGGCTACATTTGTGGAATACATTAATTGCATACTAAAACATGGCTTTGATTCCCTTATATATGGCTTCTCTTAACAAAGAGAAATTTCTCAGTATGTGCCATCAGAATTAGTATTAAATAAGCTGTTTTACACTGAACAGCTTCAGTTTTCTACATATGGACAGAACAGCAACACTGGAAGAATTCAGTAAACACAAAATTACAAAGTGCATGTCTGAGAGATCCAAAACCATTTGGAAAACCTTATCGACCTAGGGGAGGAAAAAGTATTTGAGCTTGAAATAATTAGCATACCGTTCGATTTCTGATGTAAAGAAAAACCTTCTGAGTTTGCTGGGGCCCACTGATAATATCTGGAAAACAAGCTGCTTCCTGTGATGTCATTCGATCGTGTGGAAGCCTGCTCTGGAAAGCTGCGCCTTCCACACCTACAATGAAAGAACAAGCATGTGACAAGTATGCAAAAGTACAGGAAAGAGCAAAATCTGGCCACACAGTGCAGAAACTAAGAAATAGACAATCTTAGATGATATATGTTCTTTAGTCTTTCACAGAAAGAACATCTCTTAATGCACTATTGACATTACACTCCAAACACATTTCTAAATGCAACTGTCTTTTTCTTTAAAACTATTGGCTGAGACATTGGAAAATGTTGCAAAGTTAGCTGAGTAATGAAAATCAATTCAACCTCTCACAGTTTTGTTCATTGAACTGATTGACAATCCTCTTAAATCCTATTCTACTTTTTGCAAGGGCACACCTAACCTAGTTTACTTGGAGGGTTCTTATCTCAGGAAACTTATTAAAAAGCTTGAGACTTTAGCATATAGTCTTAAAACGTCTTTCGTCAAATGTACTACTGAGCTTCTGTGTAGACACTGCAATCTTAATGAAGCATTTATTTACCAAGTCAAACATCCATCAGGATCCTGCTAGTAAGTGAGAAGGCTTGCTAAAAGAAGCAGTCAATGCTTCACAAAGGCATTGTCCTGCAGATTCATGTTTGGGTACAGGCCTTAAAAGTGGAAATTATAAATAAAAATAAATAAACAAAAGAACAGGTAATCCTCAACTTACAACAGTTTGTTTAGTGACCAAAATTACAAAAGCACTGAAAAACATGAGTTATGACTGTTTTTCACATTTGCAACTGTTGCAGTGTCCCCATGCTGATCAAAATTCAGATGCGTGGCAACTGGCTCATATTTATGCCAACTGCATTGTCCTGGGGTCATGTGATCACCTTTTGCGACCTTCTAACAAGCAATTAATGAATTCTCTATTGAAAAATTACTTGGGCGCTTTCTTTTAATCCTCAGTAATTTGGAAAGAACTAACCTTTTCTTTCCAGTTCCACAAACTTGGAAACATTAATTTTGTATTATGGTACTATAATGGCACCAATTATGCACCCACTGCAATAAAAATTTCTAGAGCAAGAGTAATCAGCCACCCATTATTAGGCCCACAGATTTGTAATTACGCTTATTACAGCTTTAGAAAACTAGCCTATTCTGAACTTTCTAACACCTTATTATAAGTCTTTGTTCCAATGTGTTTGTAACATCGGGAAACTGGACTGATTTCTATAAAAGTCATATATGTGGTGCTATTGTCTCCAATTCTGCCTTAGTTTTTAGCAATACCACTTAGACTTACTTCACAGTGCTTTATAGCCCTCTCTAAGCGGTTTATGGAGTCAGCCTGTTGCCCCCAACAATCTGGCTCCTCATTTTACTGACCTCGGAAGGATGGAAGGCTGAGTCAACCTTGAGCCAGTGAGAATCGAACTCCTGGCAGTGAGCAGTGAGTTGGCCTGCAATACTGCATTCTACCCACTACGCCACCATGGCTCTTTTTATTAATAATTCCCTAGGTTTCCTGAACAATATAGGACAATTACATATTAGGATAGCATAGATTTGAGCCTAAAATTATATGATCTAGCTGTGGTATTTGATCACATTTAGCCTTGAGAAGACTTCATTGGAGCTGAAGCAAAAGGTCTTCCATAATGCTCTCTAGAAAAATCCAAGAATATGTTCCTATTTTAGGAACAATATCTCACGAAATCTGTGATGGTTTCATCATAAGGATCACTAATGCCACAATGATGAAAAAGGAAATAGAATCATAATGTTGAGATATAACATGCAATGAAGTTTCCCTTCTCTACTTGCTTTTCTTATGGTATTTCCCTCTTTTTATTCTTTTTAAACTGCTGACGTTTGGAACTGTAATGCTTTTTTTCTTAATTATCACACATCATTTAACAGCCAAATAGGATGCAGAAAACTGATTGGTTGATGCTGATTTCCCAGCAGGTCACACCTACCTAATAAGAAAGCTTTATTTTAGCCTAGGTTTTAGGATGAAGTGTTTGGACAGTTACACTAATTCTTTCCCCATACAATTCTCCCTTTCCTCCTACAGGTAACCCTCGATTTACAGTGATTCATTCAATACTGTTCAAAGTTACAACAGCACTGAAAAAAGTGATTTTTGACCATTTCCACACTTATGACCATTGCAGCATCCACATGGTTATGTGCTCAAAACTAGGACACTTGGCAACTGGTTCATATTTATGACAATTGCAGTGTCTCGGAGGCATGTGATCACTTTTTGTGACCTTCTGACAAGCAAAGTCAATGGGAAAGCCAGATTCACTTAATAACCATGTTACTAACTTAACAACTGCAGTGGTTCAGTGGCAAGAAAGGTTGTAAAGTGGGACAAAACTCAATTGACTAATGTCTCGCTTAGCAACAGAAATTTTGGGCTCAATTGTGGTCATAAGTTGAGCACTATCTGTAAATATCTGCTGGCCCAGTAAGCTGGTTGACTAAATTTTCTTCAGATTCCAACCCTCCTCCTTTTTCATCTGGGCTTGGGACTGGCAATGGCCAGCTTGCAGGTCATATACTCGGTATGGAGAACAACCAAATTCCCAAGATGGCAATGAGATGGACTGCCCCCCAATGCCAAAGGACACCCTTGAAATACATGGCAAAGAACGTTCATGGACAATTTAAAGAATTTAAACATCACATGGGAAGACATTTAAGCACTCGCCCCAAACTGAAAATACTGGAGATCCCTTGATGCCTGATAAGGTACATAGCATGGGAGAAATCTAATGCTCATGCTAAAAAAAAAAAAAATAAGCTGGTGAAAAGAGATGAGGAGGAGGTGGACAGTTCTGCAAAGATCTGGGATTTCATTCTCACATAAAAGTATTGTCCCAAGATAAAAGCATTTACTTTCAGGAATGCCTAAAATATTAGCCACTCCCATAGAATGACAAGTTTTATCAACTGCTCTCTTTAAATCTAGCCAAGATTGTGTCTTTCTATGGCACGCTACCAAGAGGATATTTAGCAAGATATGGTCACACAAACTCCTCACATGCTATATAAATCAGACTATCAATCTTTCTCCTAGCTTTTGGGTGAAAAACCTAAGCATATTTTTGGCTATCTCTCTCAGGTTTTTAAACGTGTCCACTAAGCAAAACTATTGAAAAAGAAATATCAGATTTCCAATATCAGATGCCAATGTGCGTAATATATAAGCTTGTATATTTAAATTTTTTAACTCTTGAGGAACACTGGCATTTCAGAATGAAAATCACGGATATTTTAGTTGTGCTGAAAAACGCAAATAGGAGCAGGACTGAGTTATGATTTATGTGTCACTAGAAAACAGTTCTGCCTGAATACTTACCGGTACTAGAGTTGAACATAGGAGGAAACCACACTGAAGCACCTATCTCTGTACAAATTCCTAGTATCAAGGTTTCACATTTGCTCATTTGTGATGCTTGATCTACAACAGTAATAAACTCTAATACAGGCCTACAAATGTGCATAATTGCAATTATTGTATAAATGGAGGTCTGAGGTTGCATAAATGGATGCCTAAGTTAATATTACCCGTTATTTATGGTGAGCAACCAGTGGGAGAATTAGGGCACTGTTGTTTCTCTTCCTATTGGATGTTTGCTTTGGGCAAACATAAATCCCTGAACTGACCTTAGAATGTTTTTGCTGCAGTTATAAATTGATTAAATATTCATAAGATGTCAAGTGCAAATAAATCTTGCATTTTTAAAAATAAACCATGCGATCCAAATGCAGTTTGGATGGAGTAATGAACTTTTTTAGAAACAAAATTGGCTTTATCCTGGACCCAATCCAAAGAGCAATTCATGCAGGATTCTGTTCTTCTATAAATTGTTCCTATTCACAAAAGTCTGCCAGCAGCACTTTCAGCTACAACTTATACCTTCAGGAAACCCAATTGATATAATGCACATTCTTACAGATATAAGAGCTCTGTATAGCTACAATATGAATGCAAGAGCTGAATAATTACATAGCATGTAACAGTCTGAGTCTCTCAAATGTTATTTTCTATAATTAGCTCTTCTGTAGACAAAAGTTGAAATTACAAGGTGAAACTGAAATATGCATACATATGTATGTATGTATGTATAAATTTGCATATTTTAGTAACATTTACATAATCCTTGAGTGTAACATAGATGTAGCCAATTGTACAAACAAAAATAGATTTGTCTTTTGCTAGATGATGTCCTATAAGATGATCAGCTTTCCCATTTCAGCTGAGAGTGACTGCCTAATGGTATAAGAAAAACAACTAAATAAAATATTACTACTGTAAATAAGCCACAAGTCATTTAAAGTGTACAGGTAGTCGACTTACAAACTTCATTTAGTGACCATTCAAAGTTACAATGGCACTGAAAAAAGTTAACTTATGACCATTGCAGCATCCCCATGGCTTGATTTACATTTGGATGTCTGACAACTGATTCACATTTATGCCGGTTGGATTGTCCCAGGGTCACGTGATAATCTTTTGCAACCTTTTGACAAGCAAAGTCAAGGGGGAAACCCAGTTCACTTAACTTTATTAATTTCAGAACTGCAGTGATTCACTTAACAAATGTGGCGAGAAAGTTGTAAAATGGGACAAAACTCACTTAAGAAATTTCTCACTTAGCAACATAAATTTTGGGCTCAATTGTGGTCATAAGTGGAGGACTACCTGTAATTAAGTAATAGCTTAACTGTATTCTTTTCAAAGGAATATGCAGGCCATAGAAACACACTGTTATGGACTGAAACTGTGCTGAAAGGAAGATTCAGGGCTTAGCAGGAAGAACCTTTCAGCTCTGTCACTGACACAAATGTACAGTAATTTGAATATAATAATTGGAAGTTGACACTGTTGTAGTCCTCATATAAGCATATATTAACCACTGGAATTTTTGCCTTCCCAAAGTTGCCTTCCCAAATTTTTGCCTTCCCAAAGAAAACCATATAAAAGTGTATTTCCATTTTTTTAAGTTAAAAAGGGCCTCCTGAGTACCTGAGCTTGGCTGGAAAATCTAAATGTTTAAGATAATAATTTCCCAACTAATGCCACCCAAGTGTTAATCATCCTTCTTAGACACCATCCAAGTCATGATGACTGAGGATCATTTGTTATTCAGTGTACCCGGGGGGCATCAGAACTAGGAAATATTTCAAGGAAGAAGAGAACACAAAAATCACAAATTCAGAACCATTGATACTTAGAACATAATTCCAGATACCCATACCACCTTTTTGAAATTTAAGAAAGAAGATTAAAGAAAGAAGATCAAAGTATTAGAATGTCTAATACTAGTACATAAAGACTTATAAGTTGGACCTTAAATTCTTGTCAGACTTGCCAAGACTTCTCAGCATTGCAGCACTTAACAGATCTGTTTGCTCAAAATTGCAAACCCAATCCATACTTCGAAATAATCAAGACATGCCAAATAAATTTATTTCAAGGTCTATACTTTTATCTCTTCAACATATATATCCAAAATAACCACCCACTTAAACAGGTAAGGCTTCAAAAATTAAACAAATGATAAATTGCTCTGAAAAGCAGACCAAAGCTGCACCTTAAACTGACCACGTCTGTCCTTACTTAGATACAAAAATTCTACCCTGCAGGCATCAGCTGGAACTGAGATTATCATTTGTATCAAAGGTTCTCTAAAAGGTTGTCAAAGTAAGAAACTAAGACAGATTTGTGATCAATCCCTAAATTAACAGCACACTTCTATATACATTTATTTGAAAATAAGTCTAACTCTCAGTGGGATATATAACCAGAAAGTGTAAGCCAAATTGGTTAAAGTGTGGGCATCTAACTAAGGAGTTGTTTGTTCTTTAGAATCACATGCAGAATTACAGTATGTAATGTAAAAGGCCTACAGCTCTGAAAGGAGGGAGGGAAACTGCCTTTTAAGTTGTATAAACATAAGCCTCTGATTTCCACAAAATTCATGGAAGAACAGACGGTTGGGAATTCTGCCTAAAAAAATCAGAATGCTTTCCTTTCCGCATCGTCTTCACCAGCTGGGATTTGAAGTTTTACCTTCCTTTTTCAACAGGCAAATGCATGTCCCTTGTACTTCAAATTAAGTCTGGGCCCACCCACCCACACGCATTTGCAAGCATCAATCCCTGATTTGGGGGCTCTTGCTACTAAGTGGCAAGCATCAAACGCCACCCTCACCTGATGCTTGGCAGTCTCCATACCCTCCAGAACTGTCGTCTTGAAGTCCTCCTGCTTGCCCTGTGGAAGGAAAGAGGAGATCTCAGGGACCTTTCTCCATAAGTTCAAGTCATTTGGGGACAGGAAGGCCTGATAGTTGGTGATTCCAGTTTAGAAGTTCACCAACTAATGGAGGGAAAACATTTTCTGAGAATTCGAAATTCTGAAATCTGAGTCGTGGTCTTCACATACTCTCCAGTCTTCTAATGCTTCATCCTTGTTGTTGGAACCCTTTGTCAGACTCTTATAGGGAAAAGATAGATATACACAGTATTTTCAGGTCACCTGGTGGATAAATATGCATGAACCAGTGTATTAACAGATTATGACAAAATAAAAATATACTTCCCATTATAATTAGGAAGACCATGTAGGTGAGTAGTCTAACCAAGGGTCTGAAACACCAAGGATTTTTAAAGTCTTGGTTGGGATGTCCTTGGAAACATATATTATTTAAAGGGCAAGAAATCTGATGTATTGTTCTTCTTTCCCACAACCTCTGACTTTCTAAGACTGATTTTGTGCACCTTCAAGTACTTAAATGCTACATAACTTTTACTATGCTAGGATTCACATTATATACAATGCTGTCATATTTATTCATGTATCATTGAATTATCCTACAGTAGCTTTCGGCCATTCAGAGAAAGAGGCAGGGAAGTAAATACACTTGAAGGAAGCCCTAATCTTCCCTCTACTCTCATTTCCATTTTTGCCCAATACCAGAAGAAAAGAAGTACCTAAATAATGGTGAATAGTTCAAGGGGTAATTTGTTGAAGCAACTCTGAAGAAGAAATGTTCAGGTTGTTTCAATAAATTAAACTTTCACCTTGCAGGACAGAATATTATTTATTTGTATCCCTCTTTTATTATTTTTATAAATAACTCAAGGGGGCAAACATACCTCACAGACTTTCCTCCTCCTATTTTCCCACAAGCTAAACTAAAAGTATATCTGGAAAAAAAAATCTTCTACCATGTGTCTCATTTCAGAAGAGAAGACTTGCGAATACAGTTATATAATTATCTTTCTGCACTTTTCTTCTCTAACTTTCTCAATTTTTCATTTGTATTTTATAATAAACCTTAATAAAAAAATTTTCCCCATGCAAATAGTTATGTAATTCAGCTATTTATCAGTAATCTTTTATCACAGCAGTCCTACATTAGAAGCTCTGACACTAAGGTCTATCCAGTCTTGTCAGCAGAATTTACTGAGACTCAAGCACAACATGTTAACACAGCATCCTTGATAAATACAAGAAACTACTATCAGGAATAGCCAGTGATTATGGTCCAGCCAGAACACAATACAACCTCTCCCATTTTTGCTGAGTTAAGGGCTAAAGAACAACACTGTTAGCAATAGTTAACAACTATTTTACATTAAATATACCACACTGTACTCTATTAATTCATTTTGTCTTGTTATATCAGCCTCAAAAAATATGCTCTACAGAAACCCATGGCATGTCCAACAGTAGGAAGGATCATTTGTACTTGAACTGTTAATTTCTTTCCCATCAGGACTTTTCAGGAAGCAGAGGTCCAATTGGATAAAAGAAAAAGGAAAGGGTTTTTCACCTGCAATAAGTTGAGCTTCCATAAGAAATATCAGCTTTCTTACTGCCGCTTCCAAAAAGCAAATGGAAACAAAAAGCAGTAATATATTCCAGTAATATAAGCCAAAAAACAGAAAAAAGATAATTTCCCTCTTGTTCCATTAGCTTTCTTTTCCCTCGTTAACAGTAAGGAATTGGGGGGGGGGGGAATCCTAACTCAGAATAAAATAACTTTAAAGAACACATAACCAACAGAGCCTCCTTACTAAGGGAGAAGTGAGAAAAGCTTTCTTCAAAATTTGCCTTATTTTGAAGAAAGCTTCTCTCAATTCTTCCCAAAGTTTCCTTTCATTTGCAAAAACGAGCAACCTAAATGGGATGAAACACTTTTTCATCTGAAGATGCAGGGGAAGTTAAAGGTGTTATAGAAAAATGAACTGCTTGCTGAACTTCCTCTGGGTCCTATTAAAAAGTCAACCTTCATGTAGCTACTGAAGTGGAGTTGGGGCACAGAAGGGGGACCTAGTGTTAGACAATGGACAAAGAAGAAAACAGAAAGGTTATATGAATGTTATAACATCTAAAAGGGGAGATGAGATAAGGCATGACTTATTTTTGTGTCCCTTTAATGCACAGAATGCAGTGATACAGTAAGGACAATGCAAGCAAAGCAATGTGTAGGAAAGAGGGATTGCACAATTAACAATACTACAAAGGAAGGAAAACCTGAGGGAATGGCCAAGGCCTAGAAGGACATGGTTATACAACAGCAAGGTTTCTAATTATCAACAGAGACATGGAATTATTTAGTGGATAGATAGGATACAGCTGGTAATTCTGCAGCCCTCTAAATGTAGATTAAGTATAACTGTACGGTCAGCTTGGCCAGCAGTCAGGGATGACAAGAGTTGTAGAACAGCAATTCTCAATCTTGGTAGAGTAAACCTTTTCTGTTGTAGAAAAACAAATTAGTAGATAACCTGTACTTGTAGGAAAATTAAGCTTTATACTTCCTCCAAACAAAAACATTAGCATATACCAATTTCCTCTTCACAGCTTAGAGCAACCTCAGTCAAATATAATGCTGTATGATTACTATATAAATAAGAATTAGAGTAGATTAAACTAAAACATATTTTTCAAATATGACAAAGACTATTTAATTGCTTAACAGATAATGAATAAAGATGCATCCTAGAACAATATTTGTGTTGAAGAGACACTCCAAACCTCTTTTTAAATTAAGTAACTTTTGTACTGTGTCTTTTGCCCATCTTTTTCCTTGTAAGGCAATTTTAGGTACAGTTTAATCTCAGGAATGTGTACTCTCCTCTTTCCTCAAGATTGTGATTTTGAATTATACATATAATTGTAACCCAGATGAATTTAAAAAACATAATTCATTCCACATTTTTGGGTAAGTGGCATGTAAATTGCCTTCTTTTGCTGTTGAGGGCAATGCTCATATTGTATTTAGCACAGTACTAACGCAACTTAACACTCATGGCACTTCATTGTATTTGAACTCAGCTTTCTCTTTCTACCTTTCTATATGTTGTTATTTTCACTCTCAACAAAATACATGCAAAAGAGTAGTCTTTTGTGTTTGGAGTTCATAACCTCTCTGATGTTTACTGCATGATATTTGAAAGTAATTCATCCTATTTTATTTTGCAGTCCTTTTCTATGGCAAAATTATTAAAATAGCATTCTTATTGTAGCCCTACCAGCATTCTTCTTCTTTGCTGACAAAAATAAAAAAGTAGTAGACTCTTTTTCTCTGAACGAGTGTTCATGTGCAGGAAAAGGTCATGAAATACTGTATTTACAGGTCAGAGATATATTCAAAGCTGTTGAATTTCTTTTAACTGAAAGGTTTCCTCTTATTTTGTTGCAAACTAAAAAAAAAAAACCACAGAAATGCAATCGGGGGATTGTAACATGTTTTATCCAGATATTCTGCCGATGTCAAAAAATGGAAAAAAATGAAGTACACAATTGTAAGAATGGATCTGAGGGAAGTAATACAACTTTTCCAGAAATGAAAAGGAAACCTGACTTTGCACTGGGGTTAGGGCACTGGCTGGCTCAGGAATTCTGGGAGTTGAAGTCCACGAGTCATAAAAGAGCCAAGGTTGCCTACCCCTGGGTTAGGGTATTGGATTAGCACTAAGGAAATCCACATTCAAATCCACTAATTGATGTAAAAGTTTTCTGAGTTATTTTGGACCGGTCACAGCCACACAATCCAACCTACCTCACAGGAGTGTTACTATGGGAAAAAAAAGAGGAGGAAATGCTATGAACACTGCCTTGAGCTCTATAACAAAAGGCAAGCAATCAATGAAACAAATACTTGGGATCTGGAAAAGGAACACACATTCTGTCAAAATTTGAAAGATATATTTATAATGTATCATAAACAAGCTGACAACAGAAATAGATTGAAAATAATGCTAAAGAATAAAGATAACACCTTGTAGTGAAATTGAAGCAGTCTTCAATTTCAGTAGAAATACATTTTTTTAAAAAAATAAGATTACGACAAAGTAGTAAGGCACCAGATACTCTGTAGTCAAAACATTTTTCAAAGACCAAGATTGAAATTCCTAATTAATGAAATTTACGTTAAACTGTCAATGAAAGTTTCTTATTAGCAGAAACTTACATGCTTTATTCAATTATTGTGCCTCCTCTTATCTCCAGGTAAAGAAGTGAATTCAAATGAACTAACTGTATAATTCTGATTCATACAGTACATAAATTAGCAAATAATTATGTTAAATTCCTTCCAAGATATGCAATTTGGAGATACATCTGCACCTTCAAAATATTCAGGCTTAACTGTGTATTCCCTCTTGCTCTCTCTGAAGTATCTACATATATAACACAGAATACAAAGAGTAAGACAGATCTGGAATTACTGATAGATCTCTGGTAGGTTTGCAACAGATCAGCAAGAACCCCAAGTATTTCCCAATAGCCTGCCCTATATTACACACTAAAAAAGGAGCTTGGGTGATCCTGAAATGAATGTTTATGTGAGAAGATTGTATTTATCTACTATCCATATAAGTGCAGGTTACAACTGGATTTTCATTTCTGTTATTTTTTATAACTGCACTCCTATCAATTGACAATTTTTAGTGTCTTTCTACATCAGAGGAAAATGTTCCCAGCACTTAAGTATTAAATAGAAAAAGGATACAAATGATTTCTGGTACAGAAAACACTGGCAAAAATATCTAGCAGCAAAAGCCAAAGCTTGCATCTCTTAAGAAATGGCTAACACAATTGGCAATTCAGCAAATTAAGATTGAAAGTTAGAAAATATATAGATTAGAAATGCTACCAAGCCATGTCTTCTCCACAAATAATATAGTCAAGAAACACAAAACTAATCTTTAACCTACTTACACAACTCCAAATACACTTAAATTGCCTTGTTATCTAATTTTATAAAGTTCATTCAATACTCCAAATAGATATATTCAACAATTCAAGAATAACTAAACTTGGATCTATTCAATTGTCTAAAACCAAACTGTGGTATCTACTAAATTATGCCTTCTCATCTGATGTCGTCCTCTTAATTGAAACAAGGGGTTTAGAACTTCAACTGCAGGAAAGACTGCCAGTTACCAACCATGCACCATGCAAGGTTCACTGTTTTTTTTAAAAAGCCAGATGTCAACCCTTTTTCCTTAAGGCATGACACAATGTTAACACTATACTGTACATGTAGTTGGACCTTAGAAAAACTAGATGCTAGAAACTTGCCTAGCATGCACGATGACTCTTTCTCTGAAACAGAAATGTCTGGTGATTATTTAATAAAGTGCAGAGGAAAAAAACTGTAAGCAGTTCTCATGAAAATTTAACTTGTTTTAAAACAATGTCCAACAATTCTACCTTGCTGAGTAACTAAAATATGAAAATGTGCGGTACTTAAAAGATGTAACTGAGAAAAAGGAAATTGAGAGAAATAACTTTTTTTCTTTGTTCCACAGCAAAACCTATGGTGAACTCAAGCATTAGGGTGTGTGCCTGTCTGTGCTGTCTTGAAAAAAATACAGAGATCTCAGGAGTAAAATAATTGTGGCCTTGCTGGATGGGGACCTTCCACTCACCAGAGGGCTCTTCCGGCTCACTTTCATTCTCTTCCTCAGGAGGGGGAGGGGGAGGGGGAGGCGGTAGCTTTTTCTCTTTTTCTGCTTTAGCATTTCTTTCCTCTTCAGAGTAATACTCATCTTCAGAAAGATTAGCAAGGCTCTCATCCATTTCTCTGTATTCCACCTGTAATTGGAGTTGGCCAGAAAAAATGTTGACCAATCAAGTAAACTGCAATAGGAGAGGTGATTAATACAAAAAACACTGAATGCAAATTGTATTGAATAAAATGAACAAGCTTAAAGACGCAATACATCATAGACAAAGTCACAGAGTTATCCTCATAAGATTATCAAATCCTATGATGTGTTCTGGAAGAAATCCACACTTGGTCATTACAGATTCCAAAGTAGCGCTTAAGAGAAATTATTTCATAATTTGATTACAAATTCAAAAATGTTAAGCACCAGTGCTTTTTGATAATAGAATTTGATTTTATTCCACAATGATATGCAAATTCAATATTCTATACAATCCTGAAATATTTATTCAAAACCATGTTCAACAACAGAGTTTAATTTTAGGGCTAGAGCTTAATATTATGTAAGATAATATACACAGCCACTCCCCTCTCATATCACGCAGTGTCATATTCTCACACACATTCTATCACACATTCATAACTAAGTTTTGCCCTCAAACCTGGCACAGAGAAAATCTGGCCAGATATCATAAAAGATGTAGCACAAGATAACAAAAGAACATGGAATTACATTTTTCAGAACTATTTCAGTAATTTTGCAAATAATAATATTACTCTTCCTAGGAAGAAGAGAAGAATTCTAGAAGCTCCCAAGTTATTTTTCTATCCAAATGGTAACATTCTGTAAGACATTTTGCAAATGGCAAAAAAACGGAACACGGGAAGAACAACTGTATCATGACTCCACCCATAAACCGATTAAATTAGAGAACTAAACTAAAATCCTATCCCGCTGTCTGCCTTTTTATGCGCTTGGGATATTAAAGGATTTTAGAATGGGTATATAGCAGGCCAGCCTCCCACCTCCCAAAAAAGGCAGAGATGACTCTGGGGAATGCAATACAATTTTAATATTGAGCAAACATAAAACATTTGCTTTCAGTGAAATGTGGTTTATAGTCCTTTGAAAAGTTGAACTGCAAAACAGTCTTTCGAAACCATATAAGCTTTCAACACTAAGCTTATGATATTAAGCTTTACTAATGCTACATAAGCTTTCAATAATTTCAATACTAAGAAAATTAAAACAAATTTATCTTTGTCTAGAAGGGGAATGCCACTTTTATTTAAAGCAGTGGTTCTCAACCTGTGGGTCGGGACCCCATTTGGGGTCGATCGACCATTTCATGGGGGTCGCCAAGCAAGGCTGTCCGCCATTTTTTTTGTCCCCCATTTTTTTGTCCGCCATATTTTTCCCCCTTTTCCGGCGGGTGCCTTACCTCCCTTGGGCTGGGCCAGCTGGTGGTCGGCCTGCTCCGTCTCTGCTGCTTGCCAGCAACGCCTCGGCCGGCGCAGGGGGCAGAACCACGCATGCGCGGCGCTCCCGGGCAGGGAAAGTCCTCGACTTACGACCGGTTGGGTAGTCCTCGACTTACGACCGGTTTAGTCCCCGACTTACGACTGGTTGGGGTCGCGGCATTAAAAAGGTTGAGAACCACTGACATAAGCTTTCAACACTAAGCTTATGATATTAAGCTTTACTAATGCTACATAAGCTTTCAATAATTTCAGTACTAAGAAAATAAAACAAATTTATCTTTGTCTAGGAGGGGAAGGCCACTTTTATTTAAAGCTCTTGTCTTGGACTGAGCGGTTTACAGCAGGAGGAAAATATCTGCAAACTAATGACAGGGGCTAACAGAGTCCTATGCCTAACTCAAGAGGAAATGCCGTTCTCTCTCCCAGTGTGCCCTCACAACACCCCTGCAGTGCAGGTCTGCCTGAAAGGTCAAGTCGAAGGTCACCAAAGTACCCCCCACTCCATCCTAATTTTATATTTCGATCCGGGGAGAGAGATTTATTTCGATCAGTTGCGGCAATGTCCACAAGAAAAAAATTGGTTACAGACCTATAGTCATCAATTTGTGCCAATTTTCGGGAGTTATCTCTAATAATGTTTGGAACATTATATTTACTCACACATTAATCGGCTATCCACTCACGTAAACTAGGGAGTGACCCTAACATTTTGAGAACATGTATTTTCTTAACAGGGATGTTATTATTTA